AAATTCAGTAAAGTTTCAGATGCAAAATCCACATACAAAAACCAATAGCATTTCTATATGCCAACAGCAAACAATCTGAAAAAGAAACCAAGAAAGTAATCCCATTTACGATGCTACAAATAAAAAAAAATATTTAGGAATAAACTTAACCAAGAAAGATCTCTACAATGAAAACTATAAAACACTGATAAAAGAAATTAAAGAGGACACCAAAAAATGGAGAGATATTCCATGCTTATAGATTGGAACAATCAATATTGTTAAAATGTCCACACTATCCAAAGCAATCTACAGATTCAACGCAATCCCCATCAAAATACTGATGACATTCTTCACAGAAATAGAAAAAATAATCTTTAAATTTACACAGAAAAAAAATTTATACAGAACCACAAAAAACCAAGAATAGACAAAGCCATCCTGAGCAAAAAGAACAAAACTGGAAGATCACATTGCTTCAAGTTGTACTACAGAGCTGTAGTAACCAAAACAGCACGGTACTGGCATAAAACAGACACATAAACCAATGGAACAGAATAGAGAACCCAGAAATAAATCCACACATCTATAGTGAACTTATCTTCAAGAAAGTTGCCAAGAACATACAGTTGGGAAAGAACAATCTCTTCAATAAATGGTGCAGGGAAAACTGGATATCCATATGCAGAAGAATGAAACTAGACCCTTATCTCTCACCATATACAAAAATCAAATCAAAATGGATTAAATATTTAAATCTAAGACCTGAAACTATGAACTACTAAAAGAAAACATTGGGGAAATGCTTCAGGGAATTGGTCCGAGCAAGGACTTCTTGAGTAATACCCCCAAAGCACAGGCAGCCAAAGCAAAATTGGACAAATGGGATCACATCAAGCTAGAAAGCATTTGTACAGCAAAGGAAACAATCAACGAAGGGAAGAGAGAACCCACAGAATAGGAGAAAATACTTTCAAACTACCCATCTCACAAAGGACCAATTATTAGTATACATAAGGAGCTCAAACAACTCATAGAAAAAGCAAATCCAATTAAAAAATAGGCAAAGGATCTGAAGAGACATTTCTCAAAAGAAGACATACAAATGGACAAGAGGTATATAACAAAATGTTCAACATCATTAGTCATCAGAGAAATGCAAATCAACACTGCAATGAGATATCATCTCACCCCACTTAAAATGGCTTTTATCAAAAAGACAGGCAATAACAAATGCTGTTAAGGATGTGGAGAAAGGGAAACCTCATGTGCTGCTGGTGGGAATGTAAATTAGTGCAACCACTATAGAGAACAGTACAGAGGCTCCTCAAAAAACTAAAAATAGAACCACCATATGATCCAGCAATCCCACTGCTAGGTATTCATCCAAAAGAACGGAATCTAGTATATCAAAAAGATATCTGCACTTCCATGTTTACTGCAGCACTATTGACAACAGCCAAGATTTGGAATCCACCTAAGTGTCCACCAACAGATGAATGCATAAAGCAATTGCAGCACATATATCCAATGGAATATTATATACCCATTAAAAGGAATGAAATCCTGCTATTTGCAGTAACATGGATGGAACTGGAGAACATTATGTTAAGTGAAATAAGCCAAGCACAGAATGACAAATCTCACATGTTTTCACTCATATGTGTGAGCTAAATATTAAAAACAATTGACATCATGGAGACAGAATAGAATGATGGTTACCAGAGGCTAGGAAAGGTAGTGGGTAGGGAGGAATAAAATGGGGATGGTTAATGGGTACAAAAATACAGTTAGATAGATAGGATGGATAATATTTGATAGTGCAACAAAGCGGCTATAATCAACAATAAGTTAGGGTATACTTTAAAATAACTAAAATAGAATTGGAATGTTCGTAACACAAAGAAATGATAAATGCCTGAGGTGATGGATACCCCAATTACCCTGATTTGATTAATTCACATTGTACGCCAGTAGCAAAACATCGCATGTGCCCTATAAATATATATAAAACGAATATGTACCCATAATAATTAAAAATAAAAATTGTTAAATAAATGCAGGAGTACACTAAGGTTGAAAAAATTTAATTGACAAATAAAAATGATATATACTCAAGATATACAAGATGATTTGATATACATATACATTGTATAATGATTACCAAAATCAAACTAATTAACATATCCATTACCACCCATAGGTACCATTTATGTGTGTGTGTGGAGTGCGGGCAAGGGACTGTTTCCTTTAAAAAAAAAAAGAGGCAGTATATTATTTAAATTTGAGAAACAGAACCTTATTATGTTAACTATAGGATGTTTTACTACTTTCATTTCTACCTAATGAAATACACAATAGTAAGAATTATAGCATGCATACTAGTAAGTATTACAAATCACAAGACAGGAAATAAAATACTCTCTTACCCAGAACATCATCTTTAACCTGAATCTTAACAGGTTAACCCTGTTATCATATAATAGAAGGTACCAACATTTACTTATCCCCATTAATTAAAATGGCCAAAATGGGCAATTATGCTCCAAACAGAATAATTTCACTCATTCAATAAAAACTTGGTAAACAATTGAGTCATCAGATGAATTTATTGTGCAGAATAAGTCATTCTCATGGGTTTACTTACATGATAGTCAGCTTCAGGAAGTTTAATACCAGGAAATAAGTCACTAGTTATTCCATTAAATAAAGGTATATCATGTGATAAAAACTTCGGTTCATTTACATCTTTAATTGATCGAAGAAGCTAAAATCACCCAAGAAGTGCAATATAAATTAATTGCCAGCATTTCTGTCCCTACTTCCCCCTCCTGACCCCACCCACCACCCTGGCCAAAAGTCAAAGTTTATTTTACATTGCTCCATGAAATCTCCATACATGGAATCTCCGTAATAAAAAGCCAATATTATGTTCATCATGCCAAAAAGTCTTTGCATTCATAAAAAGTATAATAAATAACACAACACAAAAACTGTCATTTTAACCCCATATGAAAAGACGTGAAGCAATAACCCTCTCAATTGCCTATTTATAATTCCTGATCTACCTCACTAAAAAAAATTATCTTTCTACTGAAACTTTCACAACATATATATTTAAATACTTACAAGAATATCTTCATTTTCATCTGGGTATTTTAGTTTTAGGTTTCCAGCAGCCACTAAAACTGCTTTCACTGCTCGCATTCCATAGTCATAATGAAATTGCGATGACAGCTGCTCTGAGCAAAGCCTATAGGTCATTACTATCTTCACAGACAGAGGTTTTGCATTCAAAAATCCATAGGAGTAGAGGGAGATTTCTGCTATAAGAGCATAGTTTGGAACCATCATAGCCACTGTTCTAAAAAGAACCTGAAGTATATAATAAATGAAATATATTATTTACATTAATGAAGCTGTTTTTAAGCTGAAATGATAATACAGGAAATATTCCATTAATATTCAAGTTTATTCACTAAATGCAACATCTTTTCCTAAACTGTAATTTTTTCAGTAGTACTTTAATACTTTTTTGTATGTCATATTTTTTGGATGTCTAGAAAAGTTTCTGGAGGTTTACCTTATAGCAAATGTCAAAGATAAAAGAGAAATTACAAATATATGTGAAAAATTCTAAAATTTGAATGAATTATGCTGTTATTTTTGATTTAAAAAATATTACCTTAAGGTTGTCTGGCAATTCAGAGCGTCCTGCATAGCCAGGATTCATGGTAATAGCTACAAAACAATTTGGATTGAGCTTCAGTTCTGTCCCTTCAAAAATAAACACTTCCAACTTCTGTTGAATGGCTCTCTGAATACAAAGGATCTGTTGAGCTACCACTGACAACACTTCCAACTCAATTCGATTAAATTCATCAAAGCAAGCCCAAGCACCAGAAGAAGCCAATCCTTTAAAAAACTAAGAACAAAGGGAAAAGGAGGTGACTTTTCTTAGGGAACCATATCATCTCTTAAAACACATATACAATCACTTAAGTCAAATTGAAAGTTAAATTTAATAAAAGCCCCAAGGATAAAAAAGTCTTTACTCCTAAAACCAAAGCTCAAGTAATGTTCAAACCATATTCAAATAATGTTTAAACATGAGTGTGCTGAAGTTTACCCAGTTAGACCTAGGTGTGTGCAATATTTAATTTTATCAATTCAGTAATTTGACTACCTTTCCCATTGCTAGATAATCTAGCCCATCTGAACAGTTGAACACCACACATTGTACAGCAAGAGCTTTAGCCAAGTCCTTGGTGGTTTCAGTTTTTCCAGTGCCTGCTGGCCCCTCTGGGGCACCTCCAAGGTTTAAGTAGAAGGCACCTATCTGAAAAGAAAAATACATATAAAATGAAATTCACGCTTAAATGAAAAAAATAACTTGGACAATTGCTTACCAAATGGATTTAGTCATTTTCGTAGCTTCAGAGAAGCACTTATATAATTACATTGTTCAGTTAATTTTCAGCGCAAAATTTTCTAGCTGCACAAAGAAAAAGCAGTTTAAAAAGTTCAAAACAAAAGTGAAAATATATCAAAATCTCATTGTCTTCTAATACCTCATATGTATCCCATTTGTATCCTCATATGTATCCCTCTTTAAAAATAAAGAGAGGACGGGCCAGGTGGCTCAAGCCTGTAATCCTAGCATTCTGGGAGGTCAAGGTGGGAGGATTGCTTGAGCTCAGGAGTTTGAGACCAGCCTGAGCAAGAGCAGAGACCCCGTCTCTACTAAAAATAGGAAAAATTAGTTGGGTGTGGTGACATGCACCTGTAATCCCAGCTACTCAGGAGGCTGAGGCAAGAGGATTGCTTGAGCCCAGGAGTTTGAGGTTGTTGTGAGCTAGGCTGACACCCCAGCACTCTAGCCCAGTCAACAGAGAGAGACTCTGTCTCAAGAAAAAATAAAAAATAAAAACAAAACAAAACAAAGAGAATCTAGCCTTGAGGGGGTAAAATTAGTTCAGAAAGGTTTTGATTAGAAACAGTTGTGGAGATGGTTATACAGGCTCATTGCAAAGAAGGTAAATGCTTGAATGTGAGTGCTAGAAATGGCATCCATCATTTGGAAGAGAAACAGATGACCTATTACATAATTTTGTCTACAATTCGCCTGGCTATTGTCTTCCACTTTGGTATGTTCTCCATATTTTATATTACCATAGCACTGTTGTATACTGTTCTTACCAGTAGTATCACTTTCTACCTTGTATTATATTTAATGACATACATTCTTTTTCTCAACAATTAGTCCTCAAGCTCCTTAAGGGAAGTATCAACAGTATCTGAACTATTTCTGGGCCCCAACAATGACTGGAACGGTGGTTGGAAATTTTTAGAAGCATATAAATTATAGTCAGCTCTGAGTTTGTTTCATGAAAACCACCATGGGAATTTGTGAAATTTCTAGAAAAAAGTAGGGTTAACAGACGAAGGTTGTGCATGTAGGGGAGCAGGGGGAATAAGGGAACTTTCTGTACTTTCTGCTTAATTTTGCTGTGAACCTAAAACTGCTCTTTAAAAAAGTCTATTTAAAAAAATAAATGAACCTATGAAAATGATATCTTTTTACATTTATCAAAAAAAACACAATTGAGATAACTAATTAAAGGCAGTTTTTTTGTTTTTATTTTTTGTTTTATTTTGTTGTGTGGTTGATATATGAAGATAAAGGCAATATTTTAATAGTGGAAGGGAGGCTTAGCATAACTAGCTCCATTTTGCTTCTGATCCCCTACAGTAATATCCTTTAGGTTAAAAGCTTCTGCTTAGTTCTGCCCATAGGCCAGATAGTTATAAGAAGAAATTAGTTTGTATTTCAACTCTAGAAGAAAGACGGTAACCATCCCTTTCCCACAACTAACTCCCAGGGAGATAAGGAAAGTATGTACACAAGAAACAATCCTATGTTAAAGATTTATAGGAACATTGTGATCTGATCTGTCATCCAAAGTTAACTGACCAAGAACAAAGAAGTTTCACAACTTCCTTGGACCTTCGCTGATGCTCAGATGCTTATGGTCCTCTGTTATCTCTTGCAACTCCCGTTCTCTTTCCCCTTCCCTTAACATAAAAAGGAGCATAAAGTGCATATTTACTTAAGATGGTTCTTTAGGACACTAGTCTGCCATCTTCTCAGTTTGCAGGCTTTCTGAATAAAAGTTGCTTTCCTTGCCCCAACACCTTGTCTCTCAACTTATTGGCTGTCGTGCAGCAAGTGGTATGAGCTTGAACTCAGTTACAATATCAGTTATATTTCACCCATTTTAAATTTATGATGAATGCTACACAGTTAATGTCCATTAACTTGACTGCTGAAAACCCTAGGCTCTCCCTGCTTTACAATTTCAAGACAATGCTCATAAATATGTTCCCTTCATTATGGATGGTAAATATACCAGGAAACTTTTTGAAAGGTGGCCTTACTAATAAACTATCTAACAGAGGAAAATAACCTATCTAACAGAAAGTAAGGGAAATAAACTCACAGCACAACTACCCTTTATTTAATTAAAACACCTGTGACCTAACTCCTTCTCTGTAAGCATTTTGTTTTCTCAGCTTTGAAGAGCCCTGACTGGACAGTAGGAGTATGAACTCCCTGCTCCAGCTCTGTCTCAGATTCTGCCAAAAAAACAGATTTCAAGGACTCAGATAACCCAGCCTCACAGAGAAAGAAAAAGAAATAAAGAACTCCCTGACATCTTGCAGCCACTTTCATTATCAGTCTGCTGAAGCAGAGGAAAAAAAGTCATCTTTACCCTTTAAAATGGCAACCAACTTTCCCTCAGTTGCCTGGCATTTTCACTCCTTTATGTGCCATGGCCACTCCCTCCTTCTCTTTCTCTCTTTCTCTCTCTCTCTCTCTCTCTCTCTCTTTCTCTCTCTTTCTTTATCTCTCACTTTCTTTCTCAGGAAAATAAATAAACTTTGTACTGCTTTCTATCTTAAACTCTGTGTGAGAATTCTTCCTCCAACCCTGCTTGAGCACGTAATAAGTTTCCACCCTAACAGTTTTTCTCAGTGTCTAGTACTGTATTCAAGTGTTTAATGTGATTCTGATTTTACAACTCAAAGTTGTTAGATTCCACCTTGCAAGCATATCACAGCTCTGACTTCACTGAGGTACTAGATAGGATAGAAGCTTGAGATTCATCTGCTCAACAAATATTTAGGGATAACTATGTCCTTGTTCACCACTAGAGTAGAGACATGGTCCCTGCCCTCAGGTAGCTTCCTGAGAAAATAATTTGGTGAACAGCTTTTATTTTCTAGACCCACTGGTGCCCTACCCAGATCCCATTTACCAGGCCATTGTATTCATCACCTAATTGCTGTGTCAGCTGGGAATAGCTCACAGCTGCTCTTTTCTCTTAAGCATTGCCCTCAAGTAATAGGAGCTACCTCAACAGCAAATACCTGAAAGCTTACTCATACCCCTGCCTAGGGTGACCCTTAGCCAATGGCAATGAAGGGGTACAAAAGCCAGACCCCACTGCCTTCTAGTGAAATAACTGTGATGCCTGTTCATGCTCCAAAGCTCCCCATGAGATCAGGCTATGTATGAGTATATGCCTGTATCTTTGCTTAGCTTCTTCCCTATCCTATCCTGCTGTGCTCATTTCCTTACAGGTTTTTACTGAGAACATTTCTTAATAGCATTTGCAGAAGAATCCCCAACTCATCTCTGCTTATAATGAACTCAATAGAAGACATTTTAATTTTACTTACTCAGCAGGGGTAGAGTGGTATTTCTTGATGCTCCCCCTCAAGCCCCAGATAGGTTGCCAGATATAGCAGATAAAAAACAGAATGCTTAAATTAAATTTAAATTTCAGAAAAACAATGAACAATTTATTAGTATAAATATGTCCCATTAAATATTTGGGAAATATTTGTACTAAGAAATTATTTTATGTTTGTTTTTGAAATTCAAATTTACCTGGAAGTCCTGTATTTTATCTGACAACCATATTCCAGGGGTTTTTATAATCAAAGCTCTATTTCCATAGCTTCCCACCCAAGCACAGACCTCAGTACCATTCCCCTACATTTCAGCTCTCTACTCAACAGCACTAAGTTGGAGTTCTAAGGCCCAAATGTACTTTCCTCATCTTCCTGCCACCTCTCCCAGGACTCCACTGCAAAAATTGATACCATTTTCCAAAGCTCTGGGTTTGTCACTATATCACCAACACTTTCCTTTTTTCAATTATCTCCAATGAGAGTGACTCATAAGTTTCATAGAATAGAATTCAAACATGTTTGTATGCTACAAAAGCACCCAGAAGTAAATATCTGTTACTATAATTTCACATAAACAGAATTTGGGATTAGAAAGGGATAACTATTTTCAACTATCGCAGATAAGAAAATAAATGACGATAGCCATATCAAATTTGGATGAGAAAATATGACACCACACCAAAAAGTAATCTTTAATGTGTGAATTAAAATAATTTAAATACATACCAACGTTCTATAACACCTGTCAGTTAGAGGAGTAATGACAAGGCGAGGTGAGTTACCAAGATATTCATAAGCATATTTTACATTGCAATTAATGATACGAACTCGAGCATTATCATATTCCCAATAATATCGAAGTTGAGCAAGCCATTGGAAATCTGTATCATGTGAGACACCTAAAAAGAATAAAGTAAAATAAGATACATGATCTTTAAATGGAAATAATTTGAAAAATAGATA